TATTTCTGGGTTGAAATCAAGATCTTCTGGTCTGTCCTTTTTTTACTGAAGCACATACAAATATAATGAAATAGCCACCGTCATAGAGCATAGGTCTAGAATGATGTGGATTGTAAAATACATTCTGTTGCACCTATCCACTGGGTCCAAGAATAGTAAGAGGGAACGTGTACTCCACTTCTTGAAGGGGAAAGGTCCATACTCTGAAATGCACTCCAGGATGACATGGAGCATTTGCATGGTAGACATGGCTATTATGCCATATTAAAGTAATTTTGTCTTCTAAGAATGATCCTTAGAGATCTTGCTGCTTTTTCTGTGTCTGGATTCTCTAACATTTTTAAAGTATTTGATGTGTAGTTGTTTTGGAGCTGGTAATGGTCATATACTGATTTTAGATTAAAACATTTTCTTTGAAATTCTTCATGTGAAGAGCTGAAAGACACTATTTAAAAATGATCTTAAACTTGCTTGTGTAATTGTCCCTTCAGGTTACCAGGATCTTTCCTTCAGTTCCTGAACTGTCACTTGTTTTGGATGGGAGTTTCATAGAATCAGGACAATCGCCTAAGCCTATGGGGACTTCAAATGCTAAAAGTCTACCCTCAGCACTACACCAGCCTAATAAAAAGAAAGGGTGCTTGGCATCTACGTATTACCCCACCCAGCACTCTGAAGACAAACAAAACTTTTCTGCAAATATGGGAGATCCCTCTTTGAGGCAATTACCAAACCATTTAAACCAGAAAATTCCAACTTCAAGGCCTTCCAGGGGGAAGCAAGCTCTACTACAGCAGCAGTTGCACTGTAAGAAAGCTTGCCCTCAGTCAAGAAAAAGCTCTGGATCTTCCTCTCCTTCAACCCCTTGTAGTGGGCCTTCCCCAGATACATCTGTGCATCACCCCAGAAAGCCATCAGAAAGACTTGTATTAAATCCTGATGGAGTCACACAGCAGGGAGAGCATCCAATCAGAAGAACATCAGTATCCAGTTCCAAGCAGCTTCCTGCTGTTACGCAGCCAGTCCTCTACACATCTGCTTTTTCACCACAGAACTGCAGAAGACCACCAGAATTGCGAGTGCCAGTTCAAGTGCCACCTTGCTGTCCAGCCAGTGCATGCAATTGTCAGTTTCCTGCTTCCCTCCAGTATAATCCTGTAAACTCATGGCAAGGAATTGGTAAAATGAGCCCCAAACATGCAGTGGAAATCCAATCAGAGGTGGCTCAACAGAATCTATGTACAGTGCTCCATCAGAACATCATTTGTCCAAATATTTGCTGCAATCCAGGATATACCACAAGCAGCCCTATAAGCATGAGTTATCATGGGAAAATGGGGAACTGTTCTCTTGACAACAGCTTATCGCCTGGAATAAGACTGCCTTCAAGTGCAAGCCCCTCTAGTCCGCAGTTTTGTGCAGCCCACTCACCGTGCCTGCACATGCCTACTTCTAAAGCAGGATCAGATAATGGAATGATGGGATTATCTCCAGATGCATACCGGGTTCTTACAGAACAAGATAGACAACTCAAATTACTTCAAGCTCAGGTTTGTGGAAATGGCAGCTTTCTCCTCTGCCCTCTTAGTGATTATGCTTTGATAGTTCCCCTGCCAAAGGAATTAAATTAACTGTTGTCTATCCTTTTGGAACAAGAAAGCCTATCATACCAGCTGCAGTTTGGAGATGGACGGGGGTCCTGCTTAGCTCTGCTAATTGGTGTCCCTTAGATTAAACTATTTGACTCTTGCCTAACTAAATTTTGCATTTCTTTTTATTGTATTTCCATAACATGAAGGTTTCCCATTTGGCACGCTGTTTTATAATGCAAATCAATAAGCCTTCTGTATAAATGCTTTCCTATACATATGCTCACCTATGTAAAAAAAAATTTACTGCATAGGCTATAGACTTTGGAATTATTGTAAGGATACATGTGAAGCACAGAACATTCTCATGTGTTGCTTTGCCCACCTTCCACCCTGCAGCTTCCTGAGCTGTTGAGGCTATTGCCTTGAAAATTGCAGTTGTCTGTCTGCAGCAGACTGGCAGGATTCATCAGGTGTTTGTTGCCGCGCTGGAAAATTCAGCTTTGGAGGTCTTGCTAAGTTCTGTTTTGATACCAGGTTAAGTTTCTACAAAATATCAGCCTCTTGGCCTGCACTGCCGGCCCTGTATTTTGCAGGGTATGATTTGGGGCTGATGAGCCAGAATTTAAATACTGCTGCTGGTGAATGATAGGAATAGGAAAGTTGCTCACAATACGTATTTTTCCCACTTAAACTGGAAATTTAAGAACAAAATATGCTTTAGATACAGTTCCTGTATCTAAAATCAAGCTCTCAAAGCATGGGTTGTGCATGAGAGAGGGAAACCTCTCCTTATTGCACAAATGCAGCCTTCTCCGCTGTTACAGTATTTCCCCTTGGAGCTATGAACTAATGGGTGAACAGGGTGGTTGCAAACACTGGAGTGAAGATTGCCTGGGCAACCTTAATTGTATCATTTGAGTGCTTGGTTTTGTAATTAATACAAAATTGGTTTAGCACGGTGTATGGACAGTTGGCATATAAATGTTTGGCTGGTAAATCGGTCATAAGCTTCATATATGAATGAAAGGGACAGAGAATACTTCCAACAAGTGTAGTGTAAATGGGCTTTACTCAAGTTGTCTTAGTGTAGTTCTGCCAGCGTGCTTAAAACCTATTCTTTGCTAGCTCTGCCAACATCAAAATTGCTGGTTTGATTTATGCTGCATGCACTGCTGAGAACTGGAAGGTTATCAGGCTTCTGTGGCAACGCAGCCTGGATTTGAATCCAGACCTTAGAGGAGCCTAATTTAGTAATTCGCTTTTTCCTATTATACTTTATATTTTATTGTACAAATTATAACTTTATGATAACCGTTACAGATCCAACGCTTATTGGAAGCACAGGCTCGTCAGGCTTGTTCCTCTGAACCAGCTGCAGCTTTCCATGCTCCGCAGCCTGAGAAGCAAGGGGACTTTGTTTCTATGGAAACACAGTCCTCGCTGGGTTCTCACATGAGGAAAAGTGTGAGCATTGCTGTGAGCACAGGTAACGCTTTATTCTTTAAAAATAGACTGGCATCGCTTTTTCTGGATGTTTCTGTGATTTGTTTGGGCATGGAGGGAAGGTTTTGCAAAAATGCTGAACATACGCAAACACGCACCTAGACACAAAACCCAGTGAAGTTCTCTAGGTGTTACTTGCAAGTTCAGGCTGGAGCTACTTTTGTCTTTGGGCTGAAATGGCAGTGGTTGCCATCACTGGAAGAATTATTTTTCCAATAGCTTTAACAAGGTGTTCTATTTTAAATTGTGCCTTATTGAAAGACAAAAATCCACATCTTTTTTCAAATTAATACACTGTTTTGAAAAGTAATATCTTTTATCCCATCTGGTGTTCTATTAAATATATTATTGATGTTGTTTGTAAGTTTTGCATTTACATGCATGGAGAGGAGACTGCATTCACTTTAATTTTAGCAAGTTAGGCAGCTGTGTCTATAGAGCTACATATTAATGTATTGGTTCCTGTTAAATCCATGGAAATATTGTGGTTAATCTGGAGGAAACTTTCAAACTGGCTCAAGGTTGATGCATTAAAATGCTTTAATACAACCATTTATTTTCATCAAGTATGCTTCGGAAGAAACTAGGACTTGAGTGACGTTTTGGCAACTCTAGGCTGTTCTAAACCCTAAATCACTCTTAAAATGGTGGTGGGCAGGGGGGAATAAAAAAAAAAAAAACAGACCCAGAAACAACTGAATGTGAGGAAATGATTCCTCTAGCTTTACAAAGCCAAAGGGTCTCGGAAGATAGTAATGACTTTCCTTAAATGAGTAAATCTCTAATTCCCTTCTAGGTGCTAGCTTATTTTGGAATACAGCCTCAGAAAAACCAGATGACTCTATACCACAAGGCAAAAAAGAAGATGAAGAGATTTCTAAGGAAGACATAAGCATTTCAATTAATGCTGAACAAGATGCAAGTAATACAAGTATTGCTTCTTCCTTAAAGGTGGTTGACATGCCCAGCTTTGTTGACAGTATTCATCTTGTGGAAGAAGGAACTAATCAGAACACTCCCCAGTAAGTAATTAGAAATATCTTGTGTTCCCATAATAAGCTGAACTGCCTTTCGTAAGTTACTACTTTCATATTTTTTATTTTTTTTTCAGGAATTAGAAATAGTCACCCGACTTCAGTTGTTGTGTTCCTTCCTTTCTTTGTTTTTTAGTTATAGTTTGAATTGTACAGCTCACGAAAACACAGTTGCCTTTAGAGTCTGCGTTTATCAGTCATGCACGTTTAGCTAGCTTACCTATCAGCAGCAGATGATGGCAAAAGCTTTTAACTTGGAAAAGCATGTACAGGGCTGGCAGCATTCCCTTTCTTACCTTAAATCCTGAGGGAGAAAGGGGACCCTGATGTAGTTGGTTGCTTTCCTACAGTGGCTTTTCCCTGTCAGCATTCAGAACCCTTTTAATTCTGAGGAGCTGAGCATGAGGGGTTTATGATTATATGACTTTCTTGAATTTCTGTTTTACACATAATTACTTGGTGTGTAGTGAATGCAGGTACACCTTCACTGCTGTTAATTTAATTATTTTTAAGCTCAGATTCTTTACAGTGCAATGACTAATCTCAGAGTAATTTGGGAAGTGATTTAAAAATATTTTTAATTATCTGTATGGATGTTATTTTTACACAGGGAATAGCTCAACAATTTAGCACTTTTAATGATATAACATAATTACTTGGTGTGTAGTGAGATGGGGAATACCCTTCCAGTTAAATTAGGTCTCAAAAATAATCATATTGGGAAAGATTATGATAATTGAGCTATAACTTAAATATTCATAGTCCTTTATTAAAGTACTATCTGCAAACATAAATGTACTATCTACTACCATAAATGTCACTGATCCAAATCAGTCTTTTGAACATTGTATTTTAGAGAGATGCCATCATAAGGTTCTCTTCAACTTGGATTCATAAACCTGTAAAATAGCTGTATAAGTGTTCTATAGTAAGAATGTAGAGTGTCACCCAGATTTCTTTGAGGAGGAGGGGAACATTTTGGGGAATGATGAATAATTGCTAATGTAAAAGTAACTGATAACCTACATTGACTATCTAGTATGTCACGTGATTTAATCTTATCGCTTTCAACACAGGCAATTGATCAGTTGAGTTCTGAAATTCCCTTATCTTACACTTGTCTCCTGAGGAAGAACAGGAAAGGGGAGGAGGGTCACTTAAGGATCTCCTCGGGATGATAGTACTATTGATATGTCTGGTCTCCAAAGGTTTATGCGATGCACACACCAGCTAGCTGAAGGGGATGTGGACCATCACATTGTAACTCGTTCCAGAATATTTACACCTTTTATCTGGAAACTTCAGGATAGATTATGGTTTGTCTCTCACATCTGCTATTGTGAAATATTTCAACTAGGTGTTTGTTCTCAGTTCATGATACTCGGTGTGCATTGTGTATGTATGTACTTGTGCTGGTGTCTTTGAGAAGTTTTTCAAGCGTTTTTAAACTACCACAGCAATCTAATTATCAGTTACTCACCTTGGTAAAATCAGCTCTTTGAATAAGTCATGTTTCGGAACATATGGAAGATATTTACTCCTAAAGGCTTTTAATTGTCCATAAAAATGCTGAAAACCTAAGACAAACTCCAAATTGTTAATAACTTGCATTTCATCTGCTTTAAGGTTAAGTTCATAGAGTGTCATTGAGTTTTGACTAGTCCAGAGAAGCCATTGCCATTTTCAAATCATCTTTTGAAAAAACTAGTCAGGCTGTTGGAGTTTAATACTGTGAGGTGTATTTCCTCAGTCCTCAAATGACTTTTGTAAGAAAATGACTACAGAAAGCAGCAAAGCCTTAAGCAGCAGACAAACCAAGAAACGTTAGGATCTGTTTCCAGTACTCAATTTTTTTTTTACTTCTCTTCTGGTGTTTATGAAAAGATAAAGCACACGTAGTGATACTTGTGCTTTTTCTGTTTCAAGGAAATATCTAGCTATCTCGGTGTTCTCTTTCAGAAATGGAAACGTTTCCCAAGCACTTGTTCGCAGTTCAACCTCGGAAGAAAGTATTAGCGAGTCTTTACAGAAAGAACCAACAGAGGGAGCCAGCAACCATGTGGTGGTAACAAGTGAGCAAAGCTCAGAGCCACCCGCCTCGTTGCTGCCTCGGCATCCGTCAGAGGATCAGAAGCTTTACCAGGACTTACTGGTAATTCATTTAAATTTGATATTGTACACTGAATGCAACAGTGAGAACAGCACGCTGCTGAAGTGATGATGTGGTATTGGCATGAATGAAAATTGCGTGCGGTTTTCAAATTCACGTGTTAAGCTCTACAGAAAAGTTCCAAGTTTGTGGTTCTACATTTTTTAAGGTTATTCTGTACTTCACTCTTCCATGTGCATGTGGAGTACTGTCTAATAAATAATTCTTTAGTTCAAAGATAATGTCAGTTGTTAACGTCCCAAATTAGTGCCCTTTAAAATAGCACAGCATTTTACCTTCAAGTCCCTTAAAGGGCAAATACTTTAATCTTGAAGCATATCAGTATGTGATGTGGTTAAATTCAGAACAGACTCTTACAGAGAGCTTGAAATATAAGATATTCCAGTGTGTGGCTACACTGCTGTGAGTTTATGTGATTGCATCTGAACAGAATCTGAATTTGGCTTCTTTGTCAGAAGAAGCTGTTAACCCATCTAGTTGTATTTTAAGTTGCATAAGAATAAACCAGGATTTTCATTTTTGGCAACTCCTGCATGTCATGATCTTTTTGTCCACGTGGTCTCTCCCCTGTTCCCTTTTTCTGTAGGGCCAAGTAAACCACCTCTTAAAGTCATCAGAAGAGCAAGATCAGTTGCCTGTAAAATCAGGATTTGTTAATGATGATGGTCCTAAGTATCACGATATTGATGATAAAACAGAAATGGCTTCAGAGACTGACGTGGGAATGGTGGATAAAGAGAGTGTGATTAGTGCTACACTCAAGCAACTGAAGAGTCTTGGAGTGACAATTGACTCGCCTGGCAAAGCGAAGAAGAATACACACAAAGTGGAGAATGCCAGGTAAAATACTGGTTGTTTTGAGTAGTAATTTTTAGATCCAACCAAAAATGAGGATTGGCTCAATGAGCAAAGAGAAGGGGCTGTGTTCGCTGCCACTGGGGATTTGTTTGGCAACTTGATCCACATTTTCTGCAAAGATGAAACATTGGCTCGTGCTATGGGTATTTCAGATAGGTTTAAGAGCTCTGCTAGCAAAACTCAGATTATTTAAATATAACACAAGTAACTCTAGAGTATCTGGTGATTCTTAAAGTATTGTGTGTAGCACACAATTCCCTAGAATAATAACGAAGCTGCTTGAGTGATTTCAATCCTTTGGGCTATGTCAAAGTATTCCAGAGAAACACTGGACTTGGGAGGCTGAACGTTAAGTAGCTATATATTTTGTCACTGCTTCAGAACCTTTGACTTGCACTTCACCAGTATTAGTGAAATTGTTATCATGGCTTTGATGTATAATCAAAACAGGTTCCATCCTAATCACTTGTTATTGTGAGTGCTTTGACTTGAAACAGGGAGGCTGCAGTGGCTTGGGAGGGAAACAGGCTTGATGAAATAGAAGAAGACACAGAAGTAATTTCTGAAGAAGGTGTTTAGGGCACAAGAATTTACTTATGTAGCTGCGTAGGCATAGGCTGACTGCCTGGTACAGCTTCGCTTCCAAACTTGTCTTCTTCTTGATACTAGTATACAACTGTTAGGTAAAGAAAAAAATGTCTAACCATCTCCTAACAGAGGTTCTCTTCAGTTATGCGTCAAAAACTGCTTCTAGTCACACAGTTTTAAGCTCTTTTCTCTCCTCTTCCCTTGATTTTCATCAAGCATTTTTCTGGAATTTCTGGGCTACCTTCCTGGCTGGAGAGCCTGTCAGTGTTCTTTTAATGTCAATGATATGCTAATGAGTGAACCCATAAGACAAAACTGGAATTTTGGGGATTGTTTTCTTCCAACTTGGGGGAGTGGGGTGGGATTCTTCCCTCTGCCACGTTCATGACTGATAAACAATTCTGAGAAAAGGTCTACACCTCAGCAAAGAAGGAAACGACAGTGCAAATCCATAGCATAATCAGTGGTTGCTCAGCTGAGCCAGGAGTTTACTCTCCCTAAGCAAACTTCAGAATCTATGCTTGGTAAAATAGGAAGACTTTTAACTCTCAACACAAAGAGTTCGGGGTTATGAACTAATATATGATGCTTGTACTAAATGCACTGGTTTATAACCACTACTAGTGTACCAGAGCTTGTACTTTCAGCCTTTAAACTAAACACCTACACAAGAAATCGGTGTACCAAGCAACAGAATGAATGAACATTTCCCTTACTGAAGGATGTCTTCAAAAACTAGAACCTTGCAGGCTTCTGGAAACAGATACTATGTCGGAGTTTCTGTGAAAACTCTGGATGGAACTGGCATGCATTGGGAAAGAGATGTTCTTGGTCTCTCACTGGGCTTGTGTCTTCTATCTAGGTATAAATTTTGGGTTGGACTGCAGAATCTAATGTCTTAGCATCAGAGACATGTAATGTCACATTCACTGGTGAGGATAGACCAAGAGCTCAAACTTGCTTTAAAAACCAAAGCAGCTGTGAAACCTGCTAGAGGCAGGCTCTTCTTCATATGACGCCTGTGGTTAGCATTGAATCAGAAGGGAATATCATCAATTCTATAACACGGTGTTTGGATACTGTCAGTGTGAGTAGCTGGAGAGCTGCTTTTTAGTGTGCGCGGAACGTTATGGTCTGAGCACTGAGCAACCTGATTGAGCTGTGGTGTTCAGAAGGAAGGAGAAATCGGTACAGTGAGCAAAATGAAATTATCAGATTATATTGTGAAATGCATACTTGTTCTGTAATGCTAAACTAACTTTTTGATGCTTTATTTCAGCATCTTAGCATGCATAAATCCTGAAGCAGTGGTTCCTGGACTAAATTACATGTCATTTGCCAATGTCAGCATGTGTGGCTTAACTCCTAACATTGTTGATCTGAGCATGGAAGCAAACGCTATAGCTCTCAAGTATCTCAGTGAAAATCAGTTATCTCGACTTTCTCTCAGTCGCTCAGGCCAAAGTCCTCCTGCAGATTTCTGTTTCCAAGACCTGTTGCATACAAATATGGACAAGAGCATGGTGGGTCTTAGCTTAATTTCACCAAATAATATGTCTTTTGCAACCAAGAAGTACATGAAGCGATATGGGCTGATACAGGGCAATGACAGTAGCGAAGACGAGGAGGAATTGCAGGTTCAAGATGGCAATTCTGGCACTGTCAAAAGCGAAAGCGTGCTGGACAAAAACTGTACCCCTGTGTTGGATGGCTTCAATCACTGGACTGAATTATCCAAAAGAATTGATGGAAGATTTCCCATTCATTTAAAAAGTCACAGCAGAGGGTTGACTACTAATGCTTCTCCACCAGAATTGAACAGCCCTGTGTTAAGAAATATTACAAATGAAATTTGTCCTCCCAGAGCAGATGAAGCAGATGAAGACTCGGTTCAGGTTTTAAAGGATTTAAAATCAAAAACCAAATTGTTACCTGGGAGGGTTGAATTCACTGAACAACCTGGCAGGAAAGACGAAGGAGATATTCGGGTCTTCCCTGGAAATCTGCATACTCCAGCTCTTGAAACGTTAAACCAGTCGAACAGCATAAATTCTGTTGGCACCATTCTTGATGTGAAACAACTCAGGCAGTTGCCAAAGTTGTTCTGAACATCCCCCGCGATGGCTAGCAACCGCTGTTTCAAATCTGAGAGAGACCTCTGTCAAAGATTGCAGGAAACCAAGGATTAAGCTGTCTTTAAGGAGGTCGCTCTCTTGTAGCAACGTAAAACTTGCAGAACTGAGTTGTTCAGCCCAGGTTGGGGACAGCCACCACTAAATTCCTGGTTGACTCAGTGCTGAGCAGCACTGAAGTATGTGTGCACTTTTGTTTACAGTTAGGCGTGATTTTAAAGTATCTAAAAGGTGAATCAACTTGAGCCCAAGGTGTACTCTTAATCTACTTTTAACAACGATGCTTATTTAAGTGTTCTTCTTTTGACTTTTTTTTTTAAAACACTGACTTTTACATGTTTGTGCCAACTGTGAGCCATCGACACTGTGTGTGGCAGAGCAGGGGTAACAGAGCTAAAGCACTAATTTCTAGAAATTTGCTGAAATGGTTGGGTTAATGGGGGGAAGGGGGGGTGTCTGGTGGGAGGGGAAGTGTAACTGTGGCTTTACTTTGTGTAAAATTATTTTAAATTCAGCCAAAAGGGCATGTATAACTCTCTGTATCATGAAATTTTGGAAGGAAATTGGAAAAACCTAGCACTTTTAAAACTTTTGTGATTTTTTTTTTTTTTTTTTTATGAATGAATGTTTTCTATTTATTTAAGAAGTACATATTGCTCCTAAAGGTCAAAGATTCCATTAAAAAATAATAATAATCTTTAGTTGTCTGATGTAGCCTTTATTTAAAACACTTGCCACTTCCCAGTCCCTGTTTAGAATGGCTAACAGAGAGTGTGAGGGCATCACTTGCTACTGAACGCTTCAAGAATTGCAGCACTGGGTGGTGGAGTAAGCAAAAACAATTGATTTTTCACTTTCTTCTGTGTAAACATACAAACACTCTGTGCTGAAGCACTACAGTCCATTAATGAAAGAGCCCTTTTCCATCACCTTGTCATGACAATATTCCACAAATTGAGGAATTCAGTTATTTATTAAGGGTTCCATTTCTGTTACGACTTTGACTTTTCGTCATTTTTTTTTTGGTGCAGTAGATATTTTTGTGGTTAATAAGTGTTGTCAGGGACACAGTCACCCCCTGGTACTGGAAACCCCAGGTGCCCAGTGCTGGCTGGGACAGCTCTGCCCGCCTTTGGGGAGGACAGAGCGCAGCGAGTGCCGCTGTGCTGTGATGGTGCCTCTGTCCTGACCTCTTAGTCTTGGAAATGAGACGCCAGTGCTGGAAGCGGCAGTTCATTCCCATTCCCACCATTCCTGAGGGGAGGACAGTGTGCAATGACAATCCAGCCATCTGTTTTCGCGCCGGCTGTAGCGCATCAGCATGCTTTAACGGGAGTTTGAACAAACTTTAATGACGGTGTTGTCTCAACAGAAGTTCAGCCTGTGGTGCTGACCTTGTCTTTCCTGCTCCCAGAGTGTTAAAGTAGAGATTAAAACACCCCTTGCTGAAGTCCCAGGCCCTTCCCCTTCAAATCCAAAGGGCTGCACTGTTGGTTCATGGTACATTTGAGTGGGTGCTAATTAATTTATTACAATGGCACGAGAGCCTTTTCCAATATCTATCGCCCTCGTGGCCCTTTGTGGATTAAGAAATAGGGGTGAAATAAGCCATTTGCTATTTCAGGGCGGGTACAGAGAGGGGACGGCAGCAGCTCCCTTCAAGCCGTGTCAGAATTTCTCCCCTCTCACGCAGCCTCTTCCATCAACAACAATATTTGCTTCCTTTCAGGAAAGGTACTGCTTTGCTGTGCTGAAAACCAAAACCTTTCTCAGTCCCTGAATCTCTTCTGGATCAGGCACAAGCTTATTATCTGGCAGCATGTTTTCTGCTGAATCAGTCAGAAAATAGTTAATGTTTTTGAACATTCCAGTGAGATGAATGAGGCAATTCATACCTCTGAGCTATTGTTGTAGGGTTTTGTTCTTTGTTTCCTATTGTAAAATGTCTGGAAACACAGGAAGATGACAGTTGTATTGGTTAATATTTTAAAGACTTTCTTCAAATGCTCGAGGGCTAGAAACAATTTGAAGACAAAAGCCAAACCACTTGCACACAGCCCAGGACAAGGGTGTGGTGTTATATTAAGTTACACAAATCATATAATCCTGGACAGCAACCCCTGAGCGAGCGAAACATTAATTTGCTTGACCAAAACAACAACAACAACAACAACAAAAAAAACAAAACCCCACGCTTCCCTAAAACGGGTTTTTCTTTCATCCTGTAGAACTAATTTCAAGATGCCCGGCTTTTTTTCCCCAAAGCATCTACTACTGCACTTGGAGTCAATAATGCAGGGAGAGCCGGGTCCAGCTTTGTTAACCCTGAGCGACGGGGACCCAACTCAAGGGCTGGTTCCGTCCGGCAGTGACACGCGTGGAGGCGCAGCACAGTTTAAGGCTTTATTATTGGGGGTTTCATCTTTGCTTCTGTTGTTTCCAGCCATCCTTTGTTATAATTAAAGGAAGATATAGTGCTCGCTCGAAAGGTCTCGGGCCTGCTGGGAGCATCACTGCCCTCTTCATTCTGTATAATTTTGGTGCTCCCGACCGCGGGGCTCCGTTACCTCTTCGTGGAAAGGGGGTGAGCCTTCGCTTGCTCGGCCGGACTGGGCAACCCACCCGTGGCAGGGTAGTGGGAATGGCTCGGCATCGGCTCTGGGTGCACAGAAGATGCTCGGCTTCCTAATCTCCCCCACCCAGCCCCGGCTGTTCTATCTTTAACGCTTCCTGTTGGTTAGAGGAGCCGGCTTGAAAATGGTCGTGTTTCCTGGCGGGAGGCACGCCGGACTCTCCACCGCGTCGTGACCGTCCCTGCCCCTCCAACCCCACGCACGCTGCCGGCATCGTGCGGGCTCCTGCCCACCGGGGCCCCGACCCCAGC